AAGGAACTGAGGGTGGGGGGGAGCGTGCAGAGCCCCTTATACCGCACCATTGAGATGCCACTCCAGGGGTCGCTGGGGTGCTCCCCTACGGGTACTGCTAGGGGAAAAACTTCCAGCACCGGTGCACGTGGCGACCTCACACACCTACTGTGGAATACACATGAGCAATCACTCAAAGAACTATCATCCTATTCTGCTGATGAGTACACACATTTGGAAAGTCTTCCCAAGCAAGCTACATACAACTGCCTGCACCCACCAACCAATAGACTGTCTCCCAAAGTTCAGTACATTCACTCATCAAGATGTTCTGGACACCCTAAAGATATCATGACTCAAGCCCCGTGAATCCAACTCTTTCAGAAGCCAGGAAAAGCAAGAGTCATGAACGGGTATCACTCCTGACCAAAGTAGCTAACAACTCATTCAGGGAAGGAATCTTTCCTTCCTCCTTCACACATGAAACAGTCTGATCAACACTGAAAAAAATCTACCCACCCTGGATACATTGGCTCTAGTCAACTAGCACCCTGTTTCAAATTATCTATTCCTGACAATCTCAGAAGTTAGCCCAAAAGCCAACCACAAGCTCAACTAACTGAAGTGAATATACTAGATCTGGCACTATCTGGATCAGGCCAGTGCATGGGATGGAAAGAACTTTAGTGGCACTGATGGATGATCTCCTGTTAGTCCATTGTTTATATTTGAACCTGAATTCTTCACTGACACTATGCTCTCACCTAGCAGCACCTAAGAGTAATGCTTTCTACCATTTCTGGTTCACAAGGAGACACTGTCTCATCCTGATGGATGGTGACCTGGACTCAGTTATGCATGCCTTTGTCACCTCTTGGCTAGATCACAGTAATGCAGTATATATGCGCATGAAGCCTTCAGCCCTTAGGAAACTCCAACTGATACAGAACTCTGAAGCACGTCTCCTCAGCAACATAGGCTGCCATGACTATATCAAACCTGCCCTCCACTTTCTACACTGGCTTTCCACAGAACTTCAAATCAAGTTCAGGATCTCAGTCCTTATCTTCAAAGCGTTCAATGGCCTGGGCCGGGATATCTAAAACATCACCTAAAGCTCCAGAACGGAGAGCATGGTTGACCATTTTGCTCCTGAGGTACAATCAAACTCTCCACAATAAGAGTAAAAGTTTGCCTGTGTGGGAGACAAAGCTTTCTCAGAGGCCAGCCCGACACTGTGGAATGAAATCCCCCAGGAATTAAGGACCATCACAAACCTCCACTTTCCGCTCTACATTCAACATGCATTTCTTTGGCCTTGCCTTCTTAAACACAGAATCATAGAAGATTAGGGTTGGAAGAGACCTCAGGAGGTCATCTAGTCCACCCCCTGCTCAAAGCAGGACCAACCCCAACTAAATCATCCCAGCCAGGGCTTTGTCAAGCCGGGCCTTAAAAACCTCTAAGGATGGAGATTCCACCACCTCCCTAGGTAACCCATTCCAGTGCTTCACCACCCTCCTAGTGAAATAGTTTTTCCTAATAACCAATCTAGACCTCCCCTACTTGAGACCATTGCTTCTTGTTCTGTCATCTGCCACCACTGAGAACAGCCTAGCTTCATCCTCTTTGGAATCCCCCTTCAGGTAGTTGAAGGCTGCTATCAAATCCACCCTCACTCGTCTCTTCTGCAGACTAAATAAGACCAGTTCCCTCAGCCTCTCCTCAGAAGTCATGTGTCCCAGCGCACTAATCATTTTCGTTACCCTCCGCTGGACTCTCCAGTTGGTCCTCATCCTTTCTGTAGGGGGGGCCCAAAACTGGATGCAATACTCCAGATGTGGCTCACCAGTGCTGAATAGAGGGGAATAATCAATTCCCTCAATCTGCTGGCAATGCTCCTACTAATGCAGCCCAATATGCTATTAGCCTTCTTGGCAACAAGGGCACACTGTTGTCTCCTATCCAGCTTCTCGTCCACTGTAATCCCCAGGTCCTTTTCTGCAGAACTGCCGCTTAGCAAGTTGGTCCCCAGACTGTAGCAGTGCATGGGATTCTTCCGTCCTAAGTGCAGGACTCTGCACTTGTCCTTGTTGAACCTCATCAGATTTGTTTTGGCTCAATCCTCCAATTTGTCTAGGTCACTTTGGACACTATCCCTTACCCTCCAGCATACTTACTTCTCCCCCCAGCTTAGTGTCATCCGTGAACTTGCTGAGGGTTCAATCCAGCCCATCGTTCAGATCATTAATGAAGATGTTGAACAAACCGGCCCCAGAACTGACCCCTGGGGCACTCCACTTGATACCGGCTGCCAACTAGACATCGAGCCATTGATCACTACCTGTTCAGCCCGACTATCTAGCCAGCTTTCTATCCACCTTATAGTCCATTCATCCAATCCATAGTACTTTAACTTGCTGGCAAGAATACTGTGGGAGACCGTATCAAAAGCTTTGTTAAAGTCAAGGTATATCATGTCCACCACTTTCCCCATATCCACAGAGCCAGTTATCTCATCATAGAAGGTAATCAGATTGGTCAGGCATGACTTGCCCTTGGTGAATGCATGTTTACAGTTCCTGATCACCTTCCTCTCTGCCAAGTGCTTCAAAATGGATTCCTTGAGGACCTGCTCCATGATTTTTCCAGGGACTGAGGTGAGGCTGACCAGTCTGTAGTTCCCTGGATTCTCCTCCTTCCCTTTAAAGATGGGCACTATTATTTGCCTTTTTCCAATCATCCGGGACATCCCCCAATCACAAGATAACGGCCAATGGCTCTGTAATCACAGCAGCCAACTCCCTCAGCACCCTTGGATGCATTAAATCTGGACCCATGAACTCATGCATATCCAGATTTTCTAAATAGCCCTTAAGCTGTACTTTCACCACTGAGGGCTGCTCACCTCCTCCCCATACTGTGCTGCCCAGTGCAGCAGTCTGGGAGCTGACCTTGTCTGTGAAGACCGAGGCAAAAAAAGCATTGAGTACTTCAGCTTTTTCCACATCATCTGTCACTTGGTTGCCTCCCCCATTCAGTAACGGTCCTACACTTTACTTCTTCTTGTGGCTAATATACCTGTAGAAACCCTTGCTGGCTGCAAATCCAATTGTGCTTTGACCTTCCCGATTACACCCCTGCATGCTTGAGCATTATTTTTATACTCCTCCCTAGTCATCTGTCCAAGTTTCTACTTCTTGTAAGCTTCTTTTTTGTGTTTAAGATCACCGAAGATTTCTCTGGTAAGCCAAGTTAGGCGCCTGCCATATTTGCTATTCTTTCTGTACATCAAGATGGCTTGTTCCTGCTCCCTCAAGGCGGCTTCTTTAAAATACAGCCAGCTCTCCTGGACTCCTTTCCCCCTCATATCAGCCTCCCAGGGGATCCTGCCCATCAATTCCCTGAGGGAATCACAGTCTGTTTTTCTGAAGTCCAGGGTCTGTTTTCTGCTGCTCTCCTTTCTTTCTTTTGTGAGGATCCTGAACACAACCATCACATAGTCACTGCTGCCCAGGTTGCCACCCACTTCTACTTCCCCTACCAATTCTTCCCTGTTTGTGAGCAGCAGTATATATATTTTAAAACCTTCCAAAAAGAGATACTCTACTGCACACACTTCTTCACTTGGTGAGAGGATGAGCGAAGAAACATGACAGATGTTAGTCACATTGCTTAATGATGTACTGGAAGGTGCTCACATACTATAGTGATGAGTATGGTACAGGAACCTATTTAGAACAGATTTATTTATTTAAAGAAAATTTGCTTAAAAGTTACTCAAGGAAAGCAAAACGAACACTTGCTAACTCTTGCATTAGTTATTTAGTAATTACCTCCTACTTTCTCTGACTAAATGTATAAACTAGGTATTTCTGCCCTCAGGGGAGAAATAGGGGGGAGGGATAGCTCAGTGGTTTGGGTATTGGCCTGCTAAACCCAGGGTTGTGGGTTCAATCCTTGAGGGGGCCGCTTAGGGATCTGGGGCAAAATCAGTACGTGGAACTGCTAGTGAAGGCAGGGGGCTGGACTTGATGACCTTTCAGGGTCCCTTCCAGTTCTACAAGATAGGTATATCTCCATATATTATAATTGTTAAACATAATATAATTCAAATTTATCCAATGTTCTCAATAAGAAAAGCACTTGGATATTAACTATTGACTTATCAAATTTCTGAAGTAAGTGTTCCATTTGGCTTTTCAACTTCTGCCACCTTGTGGAGAATTCTGGGTTAGCAAAGTTTAATTGATACTGATATGAGTTCAGCATAGCTCTGGAATAAAAACTTTTAATACTAGATTAAAATCGTATTTTCAAGAAAACAAGACACTACAATTTACTTGAAGAAAAAATAATTATATTTCAGTAATTTTAGAAGGCATGAAGAAAATCTTAACTGAAATGCATTCCTGTAATTTTCCTATTTACCAAGTACTAGTAGCATGTCTAACACATTTTTCTTCTCTATTCTTTTCTTTCTCTAATCAGAGAATTTGCTGAACAGTTTTGTCTTGAATTGAAGTTTTTTTTGTTTGTTTGTTTGTTTAATCCAGTGTTTAAAACACAAGACTAGGAGTCAGGAGACGTATGGTGAGATTTTCAAATTAAATGGGAACAGTGTGAGGCCAAAGCTGAGCACTTTGATAATGCCACCCCAAAATCCCAATTCAAACTCTGCTACTGCTAACATGTAGGACCTTGGGTAAATAATTTCATGACTCTGTGCCTCAGTTTCTTAATCTGTGAAACAGGAATACCACCCTTCTCTAATAAGAATGATCCTCTTTTTCAACTTCATGATTGTTTTGGGGCCTATATTAATAATTTGGATACAGCTTTGAAAGCCTTGCAACAAAGGTATTGTAAGAATGCCAAATATTATAGCACTGCGTTACCGGATGTTTCCCATGATATTTCCCATTTCATTCAAAACATCCAAAATTATGTTTAGTCTACTTCAGAAATTCTAACTGAAAGACAAACGATAAAGCAGACATTAAACAAAACAGTGCTCTCACCTGAGCATTGGTCTAGGTGGAGGAGGCGGCTCATCAGGATCTTGACACCTCTTTGCTTTTTTAGTAACTTGTTTGTAGATGTTACGAGATGTCACTCCCAGCCACAGTACTGTGGCAAGAGTAGAATAATGCAGAATTATCCCAACCTTGAAAATAAATGTTAAAAACACAAGTTTTACTAGTTCTGACAAAAGAATCTTTTTATAATTATTTATATAGCATCTAATGCAGTGGTTCTCAAAGCCAGTCCGCCGCTTGTTCAGGGAAAGCACCTGGTGGGCCGGGCCTGTTTGTTTACCTGCCGCGTCTCCAGGTTCGACAAATCATGGCTCCCACTGGCCGTGGGTCGACGTCCCAGGCCAATGGGGGCTGCGGGAAAGGCGGCCAGCACATCCCTTAGCCCGCGCCTCTTTCCGCAGCCCCCATTGGCCTGGAGCAGCGAACCGTGGCCAGTGGGAGCTGCGATCGGCCAAATCTGCGGATGCAGCAGCTAAATAAACCGGCCCGGCCCACCAGGGGCTTTCCCTGAACAAACAGCGGACCGGCTTTGAGAACCACTGACCTAATGCACTTTAATTTTTTAAAAGTTCAGCTCTTCTACAGAATATTTTTGCTTTATTTTGGCTTAGTTTTAAATGACAAACCACCTAAAATTACTGTTTCTTACGTGAATGAATTAGGCATTTAAAAATAAACCGAAAAACAGGTAGATCATGCACAAATGTAATAACATTTGTTATAAACCAAATATATTTATATCTTATGAAACATATACGTTTTTTAAAATGTCAATATAATGTTACGGCGAGACATTTAAATACCAAGAAGTGATGGAACAGTAAAAGTAAGGTTCTCATGGTAACTATCTTGTAGACACTGCATGTAGTGGGCCAGAAAGTGGTAGCCCACTGACTTTAACGTAAGGCAACCAGGAGCCACATTACATATATTTGGATACAAATTTAATGGTCTTAGTAATTCAAATTAATAGATTCATGGAATGAGTATGAATTATTATTAGGAAAACAGTAGCTGAATTCAGACTTTTTGTGCTTACATATGTAACATTAAAGGTGCATTGACCATTTGGTTTTCTAAAATTCAAATTTCTTGGGTAGTGTTTAAGAAAAAGAAAAAACTGCCTGTGCCCACTGAAACTTTGAATTTCACACTTTTATTGAAATGAACAGAGTCCAGGGGAGTAGAGTTCACACATCACTTTAGTGACAGCAACAAAAAAGGCAGAAATGATATGCATCGTTTGCTGGAGAACTGGAGTGCGAGAGTGTGCATGTACCTACACTGCACCCTTTTTTTGTGTACATACATGTGTAGTTCCCCTAGCACAGGTATAAATAGCAGTGCAGACAATGAGGCATGGCTTAGCCGAGTAAAGACACACATAAAGGGTGTGGGTATGTACCTGAGTATATACCCTACAAGCTCTCTATTTGTCTAAGATGTGCCTCCTCCTCCTACACTTTTTTTTTTTTTTTAAACAGTAAAGCCAAGTGTCACACTGCCTCCCTACTGCTGGAGCCTTTCCCTACCACAGGAAAAAACTCTGGAAGTAGGGAAAGGCTCCTTTGATGGGAGAGGCAGTGGGGAAAGGCTTCAGCAGTTCCCTGATGCTAGAGGCCTTCCCCTTCCAGAGAGAGACTCCAGCAGCGGAGCAAGGCTCCGGCAGTGGGGCAGCAGCAGGAAAAGGCTGAGCATTTTTTTATTGAACCTATGCTGCCCTATTGAACTGTTAGCCTTATATACAGGAATTAAAAGGAAAATGAATGTGTCGTGAAAAGTAAGTATTTTCTTTAGCCACTCCAGCAGTCACCAGGGGGTGTCCTAATATTCAGATTTCAGAGTAGCAGCCGTGTTAGTCTGTATCCGCAAAAAGAATAGGAGTACTTGTGGCACCTTAGAGACTAACAAATTTATTAGAGCATAAGCTTTATGCTCTAATAAATTTGTTAGTCTCTAAGGTGCCACAAGTACTCCTAATATTCAGAGTGAGTTTTAAAATGGATGTAAGAAACAGAAATCATAAAAAAATCCAAGAAACATTTCATTGACATTGATACAAGATTGCACCTGCTATTACAGCTGAAACCCTGAAACTGGCTTAGATATGACCTTCTGAGGTCAAACATCAGCCTCAGTAGAGCTACGAACACTCAAACTCTATATAAAATGAACACACTGAAATTACAGAAAATCACAGAACAGATAAAACTGGTGGCTTTTATTTATAAAAACCACTGGTCTTTGGAGCGGAAACAAATCCTAAAAAGGGAAGGAATGAGAAGTCACTTTCTCATTCTAAGTAGAATAATAGAACTGTAGGGCTGGAAGGAACCCGAAGAGATCATGTAGTAGGAAAAAGTAAATATTCTACTACTTTCTTTTCATATGGCATACAACCATATATCGTTCTTGAAACAATTGATTTTAGAATTGATAGCCTTTAGAAATAAAACTACTACATAAAGGAACTTGAGATACTACCTCCAAAACTTTAGAAAAGCAAACATGTATTCCCTTTCCCACCACCCAGTCCTATTAATCTTCCAGTTTTCAGATTGGCTCCAATTCTTTCCCTCATGAGTGGATGAAGATAAAGGAAACCTCCATCTGAAGCCAAAAGTTATTGTTGTTCTGCAAATCATATAGAGGAGTGATGAAGCTGGTAACTTCTTTCCTCAAATAGAATCAGGTATGATTATAAAAAAATCCATGCTCTGTTTACATACTAAATTTAAATAATTTCCATATACTGTTGCTAAGAAAATTTTGGCTTTGCCTTTGCTTTCTCAGCAGAAATCAGGGTAAAATAATTAAGCGAATATTTGCTTAAACATGACTTAAAAATAATTCGTTATTTTTAAAATAGCCATGAATCATGTATTTATATTTGATTACAATTTCTTACATTTCTAATCTTACTTCTATGTTTACTTACTGCTTGGCAGACGCTGGTGCTTTTGGTCTGAGTTATACCTCCAATAAACATCACACATGTCAGGAAAATATGGAAGCTCAGGTTAACTAACATATGCCAGCTTTTAACGCTGATCCTGATCACACTGTTAAAGAAAAATATTTTAGTCTATATAACGCATGCTTATCTTTCAGAAACACAGTCATGGCTTCAAGTACCTAATCCTTTTTGAACATGAGACTTAGGCATTGCTGTGCTCAGCAATATCTTTAAAAACAGGTCCTTAATTCTAAAGAGGGGTTTCTTACTTCGTGTACAAGGAGGAAAGAAATGTAGGCATACATAGTATTAAGGCTTAGTTGTCAAATCCATTTCCATTTAATCACGGATATTTGCACCAACCATTTATTTGCAGGAGCAAAATATTCAGATACAATTCGGTGGTACAAAATGTGCCAGTCAAAAAAGGAGGTTTGGCTGAAAATTTGGGCTTTAGTATATAAAACACTATTTGTGATAAGGTATGTATGAGAGGCATGCATGAGACAACTTTTGCTGTAGGATTTCATAACTTAAAGAATAATACGTGACAACATTCTGAACTGTGTACGAGTCTGAAGCTGGACTTTTAAAACTTAGATTTTGACATGGCTCAATACCATATATGCCTGGGCTAGTAATTCTTAACACTGATGTACATTTAGGCTTCACAGAATTCAATTGTTTTTTATATTTATGTTTATTTTTAAGCATTTTTTCAATTTTCTTCGATTTTCATGTTCACATTTGGGGAAATTATGGTGGTTGTCAGACTATTCAGTGACAAGAGACACTGAGATTCAAACAGTTAAAGCTTTATAACCCTTGAGATTCAATTAGTTAAAGCTTTACAACCATTAAAACAAATTGTCAACAGCACATGTCAAAATATACAAAGTAACTATTTAAAGACAGCCTTAAATAAAATTCTGAACTTCTCAGGGAGTATTTTTCTTACTTTGCCTATCTGTAAACTTTGATCATCAATAATGGAAATATTTTTTGTTCGTTTGTACGTGTGCGATAAAACTGATATTTACTAGGGGGAAAAAAAAAGAATCCTTCCAAGCCTCTTTATATTAATGTTTGCTTGATTTCATCCAATAAGTCTAAGTGTAAGTGTAACTTGAGGTCTGCATTACATAAATCTCCATTATTTTTATTTCTTACCCATGGTGGTATATATAGCTGACTATGATCATCAAGAGGCACATTAGCAGAACTATAGAAGTAGCATAAATAACTGGATGCAAGAGAGCAGCTGGTTGGGTATACAATTCACCTCCTGCCAAATCCTGACAGAAAAAAAAAAAGTGGCATTAGTCAGCTTTTTTCTCCCACTTTGGTGATGGGCAAAATAAGTAACTAGGACTTTCATTTTAAAATCCAAAAGAACATACTGGGAATATATTTCAAGTCATATCAGTAAACATATAGTAAAGTCTGCAAGTCACTGCAATTCAGTGTGAATGAATCATAAAAGCTTTAACACAACATTTTAACTTCATGTATTCAAGTTTAATTAAGTAAGCAATTTACAATGGGGCTATTAGGAATTCACCCACTTTACTGTTAAAATACATTCAACACACATAGTACTTATATGTGTTTGGTTTGTACAAGCAGTAAAAAAGTCATTTGAATTACTATTACATTTCAGTAACTGACAATAATATACACTTTTTTGTAAAATGATTAAGATTACTAAGATATAACTCTTTAGGGTACAGATATGGAGACCTGAAATTTAAGTATGATAATATTCCAAAACCCCACTAAATTGCTGTATATATGTCCTTTTTTAGTACTGATAGTGACAAAACGACTAGATGAGTTTGTGTATGTATATTAATAAATAATAAAAGTTACATTGAAAGGATGTTGAGGTTGCACAGTTAAGTATTCAAAACTTTTCAGGAACTGTTAGAATTAAAGTTGCTTATTGTGAGAAATAGTGTATATAAGAATACAGAACTAGTATAAACTTAAAGGGAAACTACAGTAAAGCAGTGGTTCTCAAAGCCAGTCCGCCGCTTGTTCAGGGAAAGCCCCTGGAGGGCCGGGCCGGTTTCTTTATCTGCTGCATCCGCAGGTTTGGCCGATCGCGGCTCCCACTGGCTGCGGTTCGCTGCTCCAGGCCAATGGGGGCTGCGGGAAGCGGCGCGGGCAGAGGGATGTGCTGGCCGCCCTTTCCGCAGCCCCCATTGGCCTGGAACGTTGAACGTTGGCCAGTGGGAGCCGCGATCAGACGAACCTGCGGACGCAGCAGATAAACAAACCGGCCCGCCAGGGGCTTTCCCTGAACAAGCAGCGGACCGGCTTTGAGAGCCACTGCACTAAAGGGTAGTTGTGCACTTTTACCCAGTTAAAGCTCAATGGTCAATTCCTCAATTCTCTTGTTGCAAAGGAAAAGATGTGACAGCTGTCAAGACACATCTAAGTTTACAATAAAGAAATGCTGAGGAATGCATGATGAAATGATTGTTTCCTTTAGGCAATTTTTACATGGACCTTTTTGAGGCCTTCTTTTGGATGCTGTTATCATGTGTAACTGAACTATTTACCTGGAGGACTGAACTAGGGCAACTCCCTCAAAGCTGGCTTCATTTTTGATATTTCAGGATTCACACTGCATATGGTCACAACAGTGGATATTTTAAGGAAACTGCTGTCTCAAATGTGACTTTCTTAGACTCACATTTGACCAAAACTTGCCACTTCGATGTGAAGGGACCAGGTTTTAGGGCTTCAAGGCGTATTTCACACCCAAGGCCCAGAGACCTCATGGGAGGTACTGTAAGGGGCAGCAAGCTAGAACCTCAATGATATACAGCAAGGTAAATGCAAAAGGACTTGTAGCCTTTCAGATAAGCAAGACACCTGATCAGAGACTGACATTCTTAGCTCCCTGGAAGTCAAAACCATGGGCTATTCCAGCCTGATCAGTCTGCTAGTACCCAAAGACCCTAAAAGCATGAAGTACCATGACTACAGTACTACAAGCTACTTCATTGCCTGATTCCTTGACTGCATTTACAACTCCTATATCGTATGAGTTTCACAGCCATGAGAGCTGAAAAGACGGTTACTCACCGTTGTAACTGTTGTTCTTCGAGATGTGTTGCTCATATCCATTCCAATTAGGTGTGCGCGCGCCGCGTGCACGATCGTCGGAGAATTTTCTACCCTAGCAACACCAGCGGGTCGGCTGTGGAGCCCCCTAGAGTGGCGCCTTCATGGCGCTGGATATATACGCCAGCCGACCCGGC